GTTAGTAATGGTTTTTTTAAATAATGTGTACTTTTATTTAATTTTTTTCGGCTACATTTTTTCACTACAATTTATGTTTATATTTTAATGTATGTTTTTATTGTTTATATTTTGTGTTTGAACGTTGTTGTTCGCTGATAAATGATAATGATGATTTCCTTAATGTTCATAATGCTGCAATAAAAGTGTTGCATGCAGTGCCCCTGTGTAATATGTATTTAGTCTTTCAAGTCGTTTATTACTGTAATTATTAAGTAATTAGACATTTATAATATTTTACCATTGAGAATATTACCCAATATAAAGACTCAAAACATAAAAAAAAATCACAGATAAGAGCTAGCTTTCACGTCTATTTACAAATAATAACTTACATGAGTTATTGAACTCATACCGGAAATGACGTACGAGCGCACCGGTCTTGAGCTCTAGTGAGGTATATTTGAGGTATAATATACCTAATTGTTGAGCTCCAAGTAAACAGGAAATCACCAGAAGTATACCTTCTGTCAAAAATAATAAATAGATACTTAAAGCACATATTTACTAACGTTTCAACAACTACAAGTGACAGTAACTATTAATCACGGAGGGATGAAATCACTGGAAAAATATCCCGTCAGGATGGGGGATCGAACCCGGTCCAGCGAGCTGTGTTCCGAACTGAGACTTTTTATTGGATGTCTTAACCACGATTTAACTGGACGGATGATGGCGCCACTGCCCTGGATGGAGCCACTATATTTAAGTTTCCAGTTGGAAAATAGACGGTATGCCATGTTTTATTGTGTTTAGAGGTGGTATTTTATGTGCTGACTAGTTTTGTTCTCAACAAGCTTGAATTTATAAAGATTAAAGTCGGATGTAAGGAAATATGGCATTAGGTCCGCCCCCTGCTGGGTGTTTTGGGTCATACACATTTTTAATAACCTAAGTTTAACAGTAATCGTGTAAAGTTTGTCTATTAATTTAAAAAAAAAATCATGTTCTACGCCTTTTTAATTATAAAAATACTTTAAAATATGTAAAATATTTAAAATTAGATGTTCGTGTGTATTAGAGGAAAAGAAACTAAGCGCAGGGCTCGAACTCGCTCCGAACTCACTACATTCTTGAGACACGCCCCTCGAGGATACCTCCAGCCAATCAGCTCGCAAAGTATCCAGGTTTGTGCAAAATCAGACCAATGACGGACTCGAACTTGTTCAGAGCAGGCGATCACTTCTCACTTTGCAAAGTAGCTTCCCGAAACCCATGTAAAAATAAACAAATAAATACAAATACTTATTCAGTTAAATAATTAATTGTCATGTATGTCTGCTGTAGTTTACCACCCTCATCGCCACGAGCTAAAAAAAAAAAAAAACAGTAATTGTGCTGGACCACGATGGAAATAAGCTTCATGTGTTATCGCTGCTCCTCCACGTCGAGAGGAGCCAGTTGAGGTGGCTCGGACATCTGGTTAGGAAGCCTCCTGGACGCCTCCCTGGTGAGGTGTTCCGGGCACGTCCCACTGGTAGGAGGCCCAGAGGAAGACCCAGGACACACTGGAGGGACTATGTTTCTCAGCTGGCCTGGGAACACCTTGAGATTCCCCCAGACGAGCTGGACCCAGGTGGCTGAGGAGAGGGGGGTCTCTCTGCTTAGGCTGCTGCCCCCGTGACCCGATTCCGTAAAGCGGCAGAAAACTGACGGACATACAGTCAACTATATTCTACGCTCATTAATAGGTAAATAATATTTAAGTGTTTATATTTAATAACTAAAAATAAAAAAAGCTGTGCCCCGTGTGAGGCTCGAACTCACGACCTTCAGATTATGAGACTGACGCGCTGCCAACTGCGCCAACGAGGCCACGCTACGTTGAATTAAAGGCCTCCGAAAAAAATAAATAAAGGGGAGGTCAAACTTGGTCAGTTCTGTGTGATCCTGATTTTTTTATGTTTTAATTTCCACACAGCATTAAAAACCTTACCCCATGCCACATAACATGTAGTTCTTTTCCCACATATAATTTGTGGGGGTTTTTTTAGTCTTATTTATTTTATTTTTTACAAATGTCCTTGCTGCGGCCCCTTTAAGAGCAATCTCCCGCGTTCTAACAGAAGCGGAAATAGAATACCCTTTTTTCCTGTATTTAAGCGCGCCAACAAAGACGCTTTTAAGGAGTCGGTTGGTTTTGTCGTTTGGAGCAGAGTCGGCTTTTAGTTTTGGGTTATCTCGCTGTCCTTCGATTAAAAATGCCCGAAGAAGCGTCCACCGCGCCTGGCTCTGGGAGGTAAGACCGTTTGTTATTGTTCACTAGTCAGACAGTCAGTGTGGACTGGAGCGGATAAACAGATTTTAGCTTAATGGGCACAATGTCAACACTTAATGAATTACAACAGCTAATACATAATGCAATACGTTTTGGCATGAGCGTAGATATAAGCTGACCGGATGGTTGACGGTAGTTGAATGCTAATGCTATCGCTCACTATCAACTCCTCGCTGCAGAGCTAGCAGGCTAACCAGGAATGCTAACAACAACAAGGCGTAGCCATCGGCTTCGGCCACATTAACCCTAAAAGTAAAAGTTTTTTTTGTTTTGGCTACTTCAGAATAAACTGTTCCACTGTGTTGGTTTTCACTCTTGCAGTGAGGAAAAGCCATGCTCGTCAACAGCTGTAGCAAAAAGGTGAGTCCATTCATTTTATTGGTTTGAAGCGTGTTTTTCCCTCTTCTACTGATCAGTTTATAGCTGTGTGAATGTTGTCTCTGTGCAGCTCAGGTGATGTGATGGAGGAGGCGAAGAAACTGATGGGCACAGGGAAAAGGCATCTGGTGATGGGGGATGTTGTTTCTGCTGTCAGTGTTTTCCAGGATGCCTGCAGCATGCTGTGAGTCCAAAAAAAAAAAAAAAACAACAACAACTTAAAAAGAGTAATTTAAAGTGCCTGCTAAGATGTTTTTGTATTCAGGATTTTTCAAAACTGCACACGAGAGCCTGAAAGTGAATTTTCCACTGTTGTGTTGCTTGTAGGACTTTTATAATTTATTTGAGACGTAATAAATTTACACATTTTTGTGTTTTGAAGATGTAATGTTCACTATAACTGTTTTAACGTCGTGCAGGGCGGAACAGTTCGGGGACACTGCAGATGAGTGTGGTGAGGCCTTTTTCCTGTGTGGGAAGTCCCTGCTGGAGCTTGCAAGGTTAGAGCGGTGGTCCTCAAATGTTTTGGGTTTGGGGACCCCTTAAAATGGCAAAAACAATTCCAGGGACCCCCGTCATAAACTCCATGCTGTTTTTAAAAGATAATTTATTGTCGTTCCAACCCCTAAATGCTATGGGAATATATATTTTTATTTAGTTTATTATGCTTATTTTATTATTTCATTGTTCTTCATGCATTTTTTAAAAAATAAAAAACATATTAACAGTTTAGTGAATTTTTTTTGAGGACCCCTAAGATACCTCTAATGGACCCCTGGGGTTCCTGGGACCCCAGTTTGAGAACCTCTGGGTTAGAGAGCTTTTTTTTTTTTTTGACAATAACTCGGATGTCTATCAACCTGTGCTACTCCATACACGTTGAATGATCTTATCAACCTACTTATCAATTAATGATTAATACTAATG